CACCGTTTGGACTACACTAGGAAAAGAAATGACATACTTAAAACTGCAATAGAGTATGAAATGAACCTTTATCTGTGTGCCAAGTATGACATGGTGTGTGGCTATTTTCGCCAATGTCAAAAACCCAGTCTTCTGGGATAAAGGTGCACATTCTATTTGCGTAAGGTATTTTGAAGATGTCCATCAATAATGACTGTGAAATTCAAGAGAAAGAGCGGATAGCCATGTGCTCTGGTGCATAGGCATGTATTTTACATGTGTTGTCTTCAACCGCACAACAGGTAAACATGCATTGTGTCTCTTAAGGAACCCTGAAACGGTTTTGGCGATTTTGTACAAAAACATTGGGCCGGTAGACGAAGTCCCAAGAGTTATCTAGAGACCGATTTGAGCTCTCTGCGTAAACTGTGTAATTTATTACAATGCTTTAAAGCTGTGAATCGCTGCAGATTGTTGCGACTCAGTCAAATGTGTTTTCAGCCCCCCATTCGCAGAGCGATATGCACTTGGCCAGAGCATGTCTAAGGCCATGTCACTGTGGCTGCTAACTTGATTGGCTGTCATGGGCTGTAGAATGCGCGGAAGTAAGATCAGCTGATACAGTGGCAGCACCTGTCAGAGCAGATCTGAACCACGCCACAATCTTTGTCTTTGTTGCCAGATGGTGTGCATGCTGCTAGGCGCAATATGTAATGGCCTCCAAAGCTGAACTCAACCTGTCGGCGTACGATTTCGGAGGTCTAGACTGGTAGAAGCTCAAATCCTCAAGCGCGCTCATAAGAGCTCTGCGATCGCCAGTGATGCCTCATGAGTTGAGGAGGCCAGGCAGAAGTGAGAAGGAGGGTATGATGTAATTGTCCGTAGCGTCCTTGGTACACGGCATGTCATTGTGGTGCAAATGGTTTGGTGATGCTCTAGCCTAAATGCTGACAAAACTCAAAAAAATTGTTTCAGCGTCTCTTTGATGAAAACATTTCGTTTTGATGTCTTGTAATTATTGTCAAGTTTAAGGGGCGAAGCTCCTTATAGCGGCACCCGCTCGTCCATCGTAGTGTCGTAGTGTGTAACAATTGTTTCATCCATCGTAGTGTGTAACAATGGTTACATTTTGACCTCCAAGGTGGTGCCAGTGGGAGATTTCTTCTGTGCGTTATTGAACAATAAGAAATAGTGCTCAGTGTACATGCCAATGGCTACTGTTGCGTCCCGCTGCCAGTGACGTCTTCGAGGCGAGCGCGATGTCGCCGCAACTCAGTTCCGCGAACGCAGCGACTGTTGAGGCTGACCATTGTGTCGCGGGACGGTGCGCTGGCGCCACGGCTGGGCCCTGCGGAATGCGGCGGCGGTTTCGGGGAACGAAAGATTCGTCGCTGCTTCTTGGAGGGATGGGTCCACCCGGAACAACTGAGCATAGAGCTGAGGGGAAGTCGGGTTCCGGGTGGACGATTCACCCCCTTGATCCCCCCCTCTGACTGCGGGCCGCCCCTGCCTTTCGTGAAGTGGACTGATGGACCGAGATAGAGGGAGAGGGGCGGCAACGAGAGGGATAAAAAGGACGGAGGAGACGGCGGGGGGAGAAGGGGGAACAACGATGACCAGTTAACTTTTCTTTGAATGCAAATAAATCCTTTTTTCAAGTTTCCTAAATGGACGTCCTGCTTTCATGACCTGCCTGATCTTGGTCATCCCACCCAATCTACCCCGACGACGCTACACTACTAATAGGGAATGAGAGACAGGAGCATTCGGCTTTTAGTTAACGCGCACGCTGCGATCCCCATTAGAAGCCATTGGCATATACATTGAGCACTATCTGACAGGAAAAGGTTGCTATGTTATACTCGCTGGGCGTAACCTCCTTGGTTTTAGAAAGGTTTAGCGAGCGTTGGGCCGCAGTGTCATGAATACAGTGAACTAGTACAGTAAAAGCTCATTAATTCGGATTCACGGGACCGGAAAAGCTGTCCGAATTAACCGAATGCCGAATTAATGAATGAACAGGGAAAAACAACATTTAAAATCAAGCTGCAGAAGCATACCTTTATTTGTTAAAGTATTTTGTAATTGTCGTCTGCGTTTTCGCGCAGATTCCGGCTGACATCACAATTTTTCTTAACTGTTCCAAATGGCCAACAGCACGCAAGCTGTCGGGAGTGTTCAGGCAAGCGTCCTCTAATATTAACAGCGCCTCCGAGACTTCCCGTGAGGTGCGATGAGGTCGCAGCTGTATCTCCTCGCATGATTCTTCGTCGGAATCATGGTCTTCATGGGCGCCCGTGACATCATTAATAATCTCTTGATCGGTCAAGAAACCACTCGTGGCGACACCATGATCAATCGCGATGTAGTCCTGAAAGGTCACATCTGTGGGAAGGACAGCATCGAAAGTCGGGCAGTCATCGTCGGTGGACTCAGCTGACACCTCCTCGATGCCATCGTCAGCTACTGCTGCATGCTTGGGCCTCACAAAACCGCTGTGCCGAAAACAGTTGGCGATGACTTGCGGCAGAGTGTTTTTCCTCACGTGGGCGATGATGTGCACTGCGCCGAGTAAGTCCACTTGATACAACTTTCCAGCTTCTGAGCATAGGATCATTCGCTCTAGCAGGTGCTTGCGGTACTTCGACTTACGTAGTGAATGATATCCTGGTCCATCGGCTGAAGAGCAGACGTAGTGTTGGGCGGCAAAAAAAATGCTTTGATGCTCTTCAGTTCGACTGTACAGTTATGGGCACTGCAGTTGTCAACAACCATAATTATCTTGCGGTCCTTCGTCGTGAAGTGCCGGTCCAACTGCTGCAGCCAGCCGCGAAAAATGTCCGATGTCATCCATGCCTTCCTGTTCACTGTGTACTCGACAGGAAGGCTTTTGACGTTCTTAAAACAACGTGGCTTAAGCGCCTTCCCGATGACAAGTAGTGGCAAGCGCTCCGTGCCAGTCATATTGGCGGCAAGAAGCACAGTTATCATTTGCTTGCACTTCTTGCCACCAATGCACGCGTCCCTTTTGAAAGTCACCGTCTTGTCGTGCAGAGCTCTGAAAAACAGAGCAGTTTCATCTGCATTGAACACGTCACGTGGTTCATATGCGGCGATGTGCTCCAGCAGCTTCACATTTCTCCACTCGGTGGTCACGCTTTCGTCAACACTCGCCTTTTCGCCGCACACACTCCTGAAGACAAGTTCGTGTCTCTCTCGAAACCTCGCAAACCACCCTTCTGACGCTTTGAACGATTCAATGTTCATCATTGCAGCGTACTTCTCACCTTGCGCCATGATGAGAGGTTCGCTCAAAGGCAGATACGCGTTGCAACAGTCAGTAATCCACCGGAGCAAAGCTTCTTCGAGCTGGGGATGAGCTGCGGTTCGTAACTGCTTTCTAGAGGCATGAAACTTCTCGCTTTCGAAGGCTTGTCGAATCTGTTGTTCACTTTTATGTACGTTCCCAACGTGCTCCGCTTCACATTGTACTTGGTCATAACCTGCTGTCGCGATTCGCCGTTCTTCAGTGCTTCCAAAATTTCTACTTTAGTCGCCAAGTTCTTCGCGTCGTAGTTCTGCCGCTTTTTCGGTGTTGCCATCACTGTAGCACACGATAGTGCTGGCATGCAAATACGGTCACAATGGAAGAAAAAGAGAATTCCGCAAGAAGAGATGGTTCCGACACGACAACACAAGGGAAAATGGCGTCGGAGGCGCTCACTGGAGAAGAAAGAAGACGCCGACGTTCGGTGGCGCTGCGATCGCCCCCACTAGTTGATGATGATGGCGATGCCACTCAGGTTTCGGTTTCATTCCAGTGGTGCCTGCGCTGCTTTATAACACAATTGTGTAGCAGCAGCCGTCAGCATTTGTCCGAATTAAGTGGTGCGGAGCCGAATTCCGACGAAATAACGAAGGTTTGGTCCCATAGATTAACATGCACTTTGGCCGGGACCAATAGAGCCGTCCGAATTATCCAAATGTCAGAATTAACGGGTGTCGAATTAACGAGCTTTTACTGTATATATCATGAACTCGAGGTGGTTAAAGGTGGGAAGTAGACCCGAAGCGCAAGCCGTAAGAAAGTGTGCGTGTGCCACCTCTCGTTTAGTCCTTGGAATGTCCGCTGGATGGCGGTGCTTCTATATGGGGAATATATGATGAAAAGATGCGAGATGGTGGTACTTGGAGTGTTGAATAGATGGACGAACGGACACACTATACAGATGCATCGATGGACGCATGAACGGACGCAGAGTTGGATGCATGGGCGGACGCACAAACAGATGCACGCACGGACGGGCGGATGGACGCATGGATGGTCACATGGACGGACGAATGCTTCGCCCCACTCTCCATCATTCACACCGTGGATATGTTGCCAATTTTTTTTTAATTGGTACATTTGGCAATTGGAAAACAGTAGGGAAGTTACATTAGTTTTTATAGATTATGTGTGCCTGGTATAAATATTTCGATCATATGGGTCGCAAAACTCCTTTTCGAAATTCAAATGTGCCAATGAACAAACTTGCAAAGGATAGTAAGCTGACATGCCACCCGGGAACAATGATAAACAAACATGTGCTCCTTCTGATCATCCTCGTCTTGGTGTTGCGCTGTGGTTCGTCTTGGTGTTGCGCTACCAAGCACACCGCATCGCCACGATAGCTGCAGTCTTTGCTGTCGTCATACGAATTGCCACAGCCAGAATTAAAGAAATGCTGAAGCATCTTGTTGCCTCAGTGTAGTCTGTAAAATGTAAGCCGCAAACGTAAATGCACTGCTTGTCTCATCCATGAAATGGTGCTTGTGGGCTTGTCCAACACTGCGCATAAAAATGCCTATTCTTAGCTTCTTTTTCTACATATAGGTGGCACTGCAGTCAGCGGTCTGCTATGATTTTGGGCAATGGCGTGTCCTGATTTTGATGCATGGAGCCTATGAAGAGTTTTTAATTGAAGGACTGTAGTGTTTGGTCACATAGATCCTTCACAGCATGATTTGTGTTTGCCCAGGGTCATCAGCAACAAGTACCTGCTCAAGCCAACCTGTCGCACCGAGGATGTCGAATGGGGATATGCCTTCGATGTGCACCTCAATGCCTTCTTCCCTCCGCTAGTGGTGTTGCACGTTTTCCAGCTTTTCTTCTCTCGTTGTGAGTGCCCCTTTGCTTTACTCTTGAGATGACTGGCAATAAGGTATACATAGCATGTGTGCCCTGCTAATTGCATGGCTAACTCTTGGGCATTTAGCATCTTGTCGTCCTTTTTCTTTTTATCAGCCTGTTGGCTCTTGAAACTTATTTAATGTTTAGCGTCTACATTGCTTTTCAGAGCTCCTGGCTTAGTTATTTCTTGCAGCTTCAGTATTTAAAAAAAAAGGTGGAGGTATCAGGCAAGCCTTGGAGGTTTTCAGGCAAGCCTTGTATTGACTCACCTGTGAAGCTGATAACCCTCTTTGCCCCCCCACCAGAGCAATAATAAAGCAAAATAAATTTTTGCTTTCTGGGACTGGGGCTTGAACCCATGTGCCCAAGTCTCGAAGTGAGGGTCTGGAACATGGGGAACATAGTTAATGCCTTCAGCAAGTGCCCCTCCCCCCTTGCTCTTACAGCACACAGCACTGTCGGTATCGGGAGTTTCACATTTCAGGAAAATGCCAACTTTGAAAAAATTGAATTTCTAGCCCTTTTTTTTTCGTTATCACACAATGGTCCTTTCGTTCAGCCTTTCCAAAGGTTGACAAGTGCTGGATTCAGCCCAAATGCAGCGTTCCAGGAACTATCTGCAATACACATTAGGAGGGACCATTGCAAAAAAGAAAGACACTCAGTCGGCCATGCTTCACTCGCCCCCATTTGTCCATCAGGGGAAGAAACGCTGACATTCATATTTCAAGGGTTGTATTTTGCTCAGAGACGTCTGCACACTCTGAAACAAGGTATTGCAGTCAGCCCATAAAGTGTAACACCCCTGTCGCGTGGCCAACACGAAACTTTGTTAAACTTGTGGGATGCCGAGTCAACGAAAGGACACATCTCGCTGTGAAATATAACAGCTGTTTATTAGCGTAGCAGCAGCACTGGGGCAAGCATAGTGACGCTGCGTTCAAACAGTTGGAGAAGGAAATAATCTTCCGAGCTTGGCAGCTTTGGTTTATAGCCACTGTCAGTGACATAAGTCTCCAGTGACACTGCAGTGCCACTGTTTCTAATCGGAAGCGTGTCAGCATGCGACCGCTTCATGCTGAGCTAGCTATACTCGGGGACAAGTTTCTGTGTCAACGCAGTGAATGCTGCAGAGCTGCTACACAGCTGGGCGAAGACTAGGCACTCTACACAGTCGGGCCAGGACTCCAGAGAAACATCCAGAAAATGATTGTTTTGCTCGTAAATGTTTAAGGCATAATAAACATCAATATTTTAAAAGTGTATCTTTTGCTTCAATCTCCTAAATTCGTTAGTGTAATTTTGAGCTTTGGAAAGAAGCAAGGAAGGAAAAGATGTTAAAAGGCAGGTATGTTGACCAGTTTCGCATAATAGGTCGGCTACCCTGCACAGGGGTAAAGTATGGGGAATATTGAAAGAAGAGCATGGAAAGAAACAAAATGTGTATGATGTGCTTTTGTGCAGTGCTCTCGCATCACATCTCTCTTCTGTTTGGCAACACCCTGTGGCTGATAGCGCTGGGATACTACATCTACATCACATTTCTTGGCTACAGTGGTAAGAAATGATTGTGCTTCACAAAATTGTATGAACCAGAGTTCCTCAAAGTTGTGTTGTGGTGCACTGTTTATTGGTTAGAGGTATAGGTTTACGAAAAAGAAAAACAATTTTTTTTCTATCAGTAAATTACCCTTTCACAAAACTAAAACCACCACTCTTACTTTAAGAGGTCACTGGGTAATGAAAAAATGTGCACAGAAGAAATGAAGGTGGCATTGCCACCTTAATGCTCCCACACAACTGTGATGTCATGAATATCGGTGGCGCTTATTCAAGCCCGCATAGTTCTTAATTAGCAAATGCAGTATACTCCCTTTAACTCTTACCAGAACCACCTTTTCTGAATTTCTTCCTCTTCAAACACGTCAGCCCAGCGCGTCGGATTTTTAATGGCACATTTTTGAAACGATTGGCAATCTGCCAAAGCTGGCTCTACTTCGTTTGGGCTTCAATGTGACATGTTTGCATTCTCCCAGCTGCTATCGTCCTCGAGTCACGCGCAATGGGGGACCCAATATATTTTTTTCGATATAAAAGTATGTGCTGTCCTTATTATATTGGTAGTTTAGAACAGCATGTTGTATGAGTAGCTAAGGCTAAGGAATTCAGAAATTAAGAGCTGTACTCAGTCAGTACAGAGCGCGATGCCAACAAAGTTGGCGGTCACCGTGCATGAAGGATCTTAGTAGGCTGGTGATATATATTACGGGAGCGGCGGCTGCGGGCACGCCGACCCTAGAAAAAGAGAAGGATGAAGAATGGCATGCTAGCAGCTCGCACTAAGTGGCCGCTGAAACACCGTGGCTCAGACTTGGACACTGTGTAAAAATAAGATAGGCGATGACACTGCGCCCGACGGTGCGTCAGAATTGTGTTCGCCGCCTGGGCTGTTTCCGCTTGATGCGACAGGTGGCGGTCACGGAAGGTGGGCCAAGGCGCTCACTAGTAGGGACTCGATCCGCGTGTAGAAGGTTATTGCTGCGGAGCCTCGCTTGTTTATTACGCTCGATATACACATGTACACGGACATCAATAAAGTAATACACTGTCACTCTGCTATAACAAAATCGATTTCCTAGCTTTATGTGCAGCTTATTTGCTAACAGTGTTTTTGTCATATAAACGCTTTGACCGCAGCAAGCGCTGGCCTAGAGTGCGGTTGCATTTTGACAGGACAGCACTAAAAAGCGTCTTTCGCTGAAATTCTGGTGTCGGTGTTGGCGGTGTCAGCATCTTTGGTTCAAAACAAAAAAGCAGCATTGCACGTTAGTGAAAATTTGAAATGTTTGCAATAAGGATACCGGCCCGATAGCAAATGCACGCTAGCTATTAGGAAAGCGATAGTCTGCGTGTGTTTGTGCTTGTATGTAAGAACAATCTGCGTGTGTTTGTGCGTGTATGTGAGTGTAATCTGCGTCTGTTTGTGCGTGTATGTGAGAGCAGCATTTTGCGGGCCCGTTCGACCGTGAACGCTACATCTGCAAGCTTTCTGTAGGGTATTTGCTTGTGGCCTTTATGTTTCAAATAAATCTTGCCTTGTGTTCAACTTGTCGTTTTATTGTTAAGGTAAGTCTTGATTAAAACTTCTCAAAGCTTGTAGTTACGTAGTTGCCGGCTTAGGCTTGGGAATCCCGATTTGCCGCCATTGCGTTTTTATTTTTCCTCGGTACATATTCGATAAAAATTTTCCCCGTGCAATTCTCGCAACCTCCAACTTTTCAGTGATTTTCTGTGAAAAAATGTACGAGGATTATACGAGTAAATACGGCATTGGACACAAATCAGCACTAAGCTGCCCATATAACAGTGTCCACTCATGCTGATGAGGCTAGCTGTTCAGATTTATGCCGGTTTGATACTTGTATGATACTGTCAGCATTAAGAAAGCTGAATATTGTCATTGCTTCAGACAATGGCCTTAAATTTTGATTTACAGCCTGTTCTAAAACACACTAACCACATGTAATGTGCAGTTCGACTGGATGTTGTCATAAGTTGTGGCGAAATTCAAAGTTTCTTTATCTAGTGATCTCTAAGCTTCTTGACTCTTAATGTACAATCATCTGATGTGCCTAGCAGTTTTTCATTGTTGTTGTGTCTATGATAGACCATCCTCACAGTAGTTGTGTTTTGAAACCATTTATTACGTTTTCTCTTTTTCAGCACTTCCTATCCTGAAGAATACGCACATTTTTCTCTATCCACTGGCCCTCCTGTTTGTTTGCTATGTAGTGACTTTGGTGTGCAATGTTAACCTTTGTGAAGCCCTCAATGATTTCTACGCTTATAGGGTGATGTGAAATGGAAATATTTTGCAATTCTTTATGGCTTCATTGTATGTTGAGATGCTAACTTAAAAATATTTCTGTGCTGCAGTGTTGTATGTGTGCCCCTAACATATAAATAAAATTGCATCATCATGTCCTCAGAATGTCCACCCTGAATACAATGTAGACAGACGACGGGCTAGGTTGCCCACGCACATGCCCGAAGTTGCTTTTTTCATTGACGCCACACGGTACCCAAACGGAGAAGCATTTGTTGCAGTCACTGTTGATCAAGATGGTGATGTTACAAACTCCTTGATGGTCCGGAGCTCAAAATAGGGAAGTATGGCAACACACAATCGTATGGTTACCAGCTCACATGGGACAAATCAAGGGCGCTCTGTACAACTTCAGTAGACGGCCCACAGAGCTGCACGAGGAGTGGTTGACAGCGTAGCTACTGAACGACATGGTGATGAGGTTCTAGACAACAAAGATCCCCCAACAACGACAATGAACTTATTAAAAACTTTTATCTGAGGAGGCGAAAGTATCCGCCACCACTCAGTAAACTGAACTGAGGCATTGGCGCTCAGACCCTTGCAAGTTGGTGCATATCCCAGTGCCACACTCTTGCACAAAATTTATCCATAAATTCAGATGTCAAACACATGCGTGCTTTGCCCAGACTTTGCCAACTTAGATCATATGCTCTGGCAGCGCCCTGCGTTACGGGTTGAAAATTTTACATCGTCCAAGTGGGGACACTGCGCTATGCAGTACAAATTTAAGGACGCAGCTATGGGCAGTCCAACGGGCCCACGACGTGACGGAGAGGTTAGGCCTGTCTGTCCCGACACGGGAGCGGCCCACTATGAGATAGTTCACGCCCCGACCAACCCAAATAAAGTTTTCCCATACCATTATGTAATACACAAACTTTTCTTTCGGATCATGCCGTGTTTTTTGTTTTTCTGAAGATTGCGACTGATCAAGCTGGAAAATAAAAGCTAGAAAATACTTTACTGTTACAGTTGGAAACGCACGATGCGGTGCCGTCTTGGCTTTCACAAAAGTGTTGAGAAATTTGACTAGTAAAGTTTTTGGGCCAATCAGTTGCACACTCATACCTTATTATAACAAAGTTGCATCTTACACGAAGTTAAGTTCGTCATATCTGAAAATTTGTTATAAAGGTTTATTCCGAGCACTATAAATATTTAAGACTATTTTTTGTTTACTTCGTTATAACCAAGATATTGTTATATTCGGGTTCGTTGTATAGAGATTTAAGTGAAGTACACGTTAAGCACACCCTGTGCAGTTGTGCTAGCGTTTACTCATGGTGGTTTTTATGTTCCCCATTAATGATGCTGTCAGCATTATTGGCCGCTGCTGAAAGGAAGAGAATCAGGGCTTTTTTATCATCATCAGCAGCAGCAGCCTATTCTATGTTAACTGCAGGATAAAGACCTCTCCCAACAGTCTCCTATTGACTCTTTCCTGCACCAGCTGATATACTTCTTAATGTCATTGCTCTATCTGACTCGCTGGCAGTCTTGGCTTCTTTTCTCTTCTCCTGAGAGTCACTACGTTTCTCTGGCTGACCACTGGTTGTACGTTATTTTGCCAGCGTATATCCACTTCTTTACAGCAAAAGCTGTTATGAGGTCCCAATAAGAGCCAACTTGTCTGCCACCGCTGGTGTTCGTGACCACTATTACACGATATGAAAACAAAAGCTAAAACATTCGAAGATCCCACTTGCCATGGGAATTGATGTTATGTGAAGCATGCGCGAGGAATGTGACTGTGTTATAAATTTAGGGGCGAAGCTCCTTAAAGCGGCACCCGTTCGTCCCTCGTAGTAGTGCGTAAACAGTCTTGCGCTTTAACCTTCAAGGTGGTGCCGGTGGGAGATTCCTCCTCTGCGTTGTTGAACAATAAATAATTCGCAGCATGCACGTTAACTAAAAGCTGAATTCTGTCTTTCATTCCCCATTAGCATGTACATTGAGCACTATCTGACAAGAAAGGGTTGCTACGTTATACTCGCCGGGCGTAACCTCCTTGGTTTTAGAAAGGTTTAGCGAGCGTCGGGCCGCAGCCCCATGAATACAATGAACTAGTATATACCATCAGCTAGTATAACTCGAGGTGGTTAAAGGTGGGAAGTAGACACGAAGCGCAAGCTGTAAGAAACTGTGCGTGTGCCACCTCTTGTTTAGTCCTTGGAAATTCCACTGGATGGTGGTGCTTCTATATGTGAAATATATGATGAAAAGATGCGAGATGGTGGTACTCGGAGTGTTGACTGGAGGGATGAATGGACACACAGACAGATGCATGGACGGATGGACGTATGGACGGGCGCAGGGGCGGATGCATGGACGAATGCAGGGACAGACGCACGGATCGACGTGCGGATGCACGAACATACGCACGGACGGGCGGGCGGATGGACGCATGGACGGTCACACAGACGGACGTATGGACGGGCGGATGCTTCGCCCCACTCTCCATCATTCACCCCTTAGATATGCTGCCATTTTTTTATTGAATGAAACATCATAAAGTGGCACTAGAAATATGTACAGGTACAGACATACAATAAACAGCCACATATGTTTTATATAACCAGTTCTTTACAGCTGCATAACGATGCCAACAGCAAGGTGGACGTTAGCAACACCAGAAGCGATAAGCTGATGTGAAGCACTGGTGCGCACGAGGGTGGTAGACCTAGACACTACTACATAAATCAACTTCAGTGGATGGCACCTAACTACAAATGACAGGCTAACGTGACGGCTGTGTTATAGAAGTACATATGTAATTTTTAATATTAGATAGCCTGCACTTCAACCAACATTGACGGTTCACAACCATGTAAGTCTATTTGAAAAGTAGATCTGAAACCAAACCTGGCATGACCCTGTAGTAGAATACTTGATCGCCACGCAGAATGGTGGAGTTGATTCCTTTGTAAGCCTGACATTTAGTGTTTCCATTTATTAGGTCAACGCAGCTAATGCGAGAGTTTTCTTAACGCTAATGCAATAAAATTATCCCTGTGTGTTCTCGCCGTTGCTGGGTCGATATAAAGTGTCAATCACCTGTGGTACGTACCCGCATACCAGTGGCACATACCAGCCTGCAGGTATGTGTTATTGTTTGGCGGAATGTGACCATGTACGTGAAGAGATTGTGCCATTGTCATGACTAGCGAGACGTATTCGTCAAACCATCATACTAATTTTGGTTCATCTTAAGTTTGTAGTGGAGCACGACAGCCTAGTTGCAGGGACATGACTGGCCCTTCGAGAGTCAATAAAGCCTAAGCAATGGAACATCCCCACGGCCAGCGCACGGAACGGGTTTCCCCTCCTTCAGCGAGGGCACGAATACTCGTCAAGAAAGGGAAACCGGGACGGAAAAGAAAACCAGCGTGCCGACAATCGGACGCTCTCTCTGACACCGGCGAAGGTAGAAGGAGGTTGGACCTGTAACCACCTGCGAGCCAAGGACGATGACAACAAAGGTGTAAGCGTCTACCCTTGTTTTCTGTAGTCTCTCTACGCGACATTTACGCGTTATTGCTAACGTATAGCACTAACGTGTTGTTGACCTAGCCTTTTGCCTTATTCGCCTGAAACCGCAGAGCTGCAATGAGAAAAGCTAGGGTTAGGGGACGTTAATCGTTCACGGTACGATTGTGCGACTGGAACATTAGCTAGGCTTCTGCGTCAGCCGTACATAGGACAGACACCTACAAGTTAAGGGGGTCATCACGAGAGCACCGAGACGTAGGCGGCTAGGCAGGCGAGGCAGGGCAGGGCAGGCACAAATGTGCTTGCAGTGTGCAAAGAAATGCTTTGCATATATTAAATAAAAAATATCCAGGACATCGGAATGCGAACCTGTGCCCTTTCACAGAAGCCCATTATTCTACCTCCAACCACACTGTCACTAAAACTTCATCGCAAACGGACCCTATGCAAGCCTCATGTTGGGTAAATAATTTTGTTTGGGTGTCTCAGAAGAGTACAATAATAACTAGACGTCACACAATGTGAATTTTGTAATGAGTGGTTCGTTGTGTGCTTCTCATTCATTATGAAAGGCTCGGCCATAAATCTTCATCATTCACAGCGCCAATGAAATGCACATAATGTTTTACAGGTGTGTAGCGGGTACTAAAGCCCCTCCATCGCGTCTACTGTCGCTTTTTTAAAGAGCGCCAACCATTGTTCCACCATCACCGCCTATTCCTGGTTGCAGAGCTTCAGAAAGTAAATTATTGAGCCACGTTTTCCCACTTTTTTTCTTCTATCTTGTTTCTGAACACGGGAGAAAGTAAATATTCTATTCTTCGTCCTACAAGTGCAGTCTCGAGTTTCATCCTAAGCTAGCGAGAAACGCCACCTCGCTGCTGCGCACAAACTGCCCGACAGGGTCGACGGTTGGGCGGTGGGACACAATGAATGAGGCGGGGTGGGTGCGTCAAGGGGTGTGAGTTTTCCTTTCTCCATCCTACCCGTAGTAGGGCTAGAGCTGAGATGGTTCATCAACCAAAAAGCAGCAGAAACATCATGGTGGCACATCAGCTTCCGGTCGTTGGAGGACAAGTGTAAAGGGAGAGGGGAAGAACGAGTTGGTGCTATTTAAGCTAGCCGGCGGAAAGTGCATGGAGAGGCTTTAGCGGGTACCATGCTTCTCGAAAGAATGATGAGTGATAGGGTAGTGGGATTTTCTACACTTCACAAATATTATGATTTATAGCATAGAGGGTGCCACGCAAGTGCACTTGCAGTAGTTTCCTCAGAGTGTTTAAAAAGATTATCGGCATATCCCTTGGGAATCGATGTTATGAAAAGCACACAGATGGAAAGTGACTGTGTTCTAATTTTTTTGTTGTGCGGAACGTCACAAAGTGGCACTAAAGATATGTGCAAATACACACGCAGACATTTTGAACAGCTGCATATGTTTTATGTAACCAGTTATTTACAATTGTGTAATGATGCTATCAGAAACCTGGATGGTAGCAACATCATAAGCGGTAAGCTGATATGTAGCGCTGATGCTCGCGAGGATGGTAGCTCTGTACACTAATACATAAATCAACTTCAGTGGATGGCACCTAACTACAATTGACGTTAAAGGAAGATATGGTTCGATTTAAAAAAAGTTGCATTAATTTGTAGCTTAGGGCAAGAAATTTTTGCTCTATATATAGGCTTCTATGTCAATTTCAAATATGTAATTAGTTTTATAGTAAGTTGCGCAGTTTTGGTTTTATGCCACGGCAATGTGTAAAATATAGTTTGTCCTGGGCAAACTCTTTATGCCTTTAAACATTAGAGTTCATATTGCTCTATTTTAACTGTAGAATGCAAACAGCTACCAAGAAAGTGCTTATAAGACATTTTAATAGACAAGAAAAATTTGTGATGCGAGAAATCCTCAGCCTTGTCTAATTGCTTAGTTTAGGTTGATTATGCAGCCAATATCAAGCTTTAAAACAGATACTTGCACCCTTCACATGTTAAAGAATATGTGGGCAAAATTTCATCCTGATTAGGCTGTGAGAAGTATCAAAAACATAGTGTCCAAACTCAAGAAGTTGCCCAAAAATGGATATTGAGGAAAACGTATTTTAAAGGTATAAGCATAAGCTCGCCTATGTGGAATAGATATGTATGTTAAAATGATTTCTCCGATCATGAGAACTTGGCAATTATAGTTATTTTTAGCATGTGGCTTTAGTGAACTCGTGCGAAATGCAATGGCAAGCAGCCAGGGGACAATTTCCTCTAGACTCTGGACAATAAATTCTTTTTAGATTTTAGTTGCCACGTTGTGCTCTTTGGAAACAATTTCACCTTACTTCAAATTTATTTCAAATCTTGTTTATTTTTGTCGTGAGTAGAGAAACTAGTGAAAGCAAATAAAAATGAAAAATGTGTAATTTTAGAAAAATTATGACTAGCATCTTCCCTTAACTCGACGTGACAGCTGTATCATAGGAGTACATATGTAATGTTTATAAAATTGAATAGCCAGCATTGTAACTGCAATTGACATTTCATGAAATTAGGGTCTAATTGAAAGGTAGTTTTGAGACCTGGCGTGGCTCTGTTGTAGAATACTTGCTTGCCATGTAGAATGCTGGGGTTCAATTCCTGCTGGGACCCCGACATTTATTGTTGGCATTTATTGGGTAAATGCTGCCGATGCCAGCTTTTGTGTTGAAATTCCCCATGTCTGTTCTCGCCATGCCTAGGTAAGATGTAAACGGTTAATCACCTGTGGCACATCACATCACAATCACCTGTAATCCGCTGGTATTTGCCACATGTGTGGTGGAAAGGGTTCGACTATGTATGCGACGGGATTGTAACATTATTCATGTTATGGCAAGCGAGTCAGATTCGTCAAACTAATTATGGTATACCCCAAGTTGTGGGCCTGATCACGAGAGCACCCAGACGTAGGCGGCTCAGAAAGACACTTAATGCAGTACGCAAAGAAATGATTCATGTTTAAAAGGGCTCCACAAAGGCTGCTCTTCTAGCCTTCACTGTGACTGTGCTGCACATTGCACGCAGACTTGGTGGGGTTTTTTTTGTTTGTTTGTTAAAAATTGAGCAGACCATCCACTATCTCTGTCTGTTCCTAGCCCATTATAGTGTGTCCCCTTCTCTCATTGTTACACCAACCATTTTCCGTTCCGTTGTGTACTGTGCAGTCCAGAGCATTTTCTCTAGTTGCTTTGTTTTTCTGCACGGTTCCACTGTATAGCCGTCAATGTCTGAGCCGTCAGTATGCAGTGGTAGTATACTTCTTGTTTTAAGGACTGCACCAATTTGTTTTTTGGGGTTCATGTCTACGAGCCAAGTTCAGGAACAGAAACTATACTCAATTTTTTGTTATGCTGCAGGCACAAGAGCAGGCTTCAGCAGTCACATCCACCAAAATAAAGTCAGCCAATTTACCCAAAGTATATCATTAAAGAGAAAATATCTTTAATTAAAGGGGTGGTGCCACCAAATTTCGAGGCTGTTCCAAGCCTGTTGTGGGTTTCCTCTGTATGCAAGTATTCTCCACACCAAGGGTCGGACTCAACAAACCCATAGAATATATTTTAATTCACTTCTAGAAGAGTATCTGAATGCTCACTCTCACAATCTAGGCCCATCGCTGGCACAGCAACACTGACTTTTCGGAATAGGAGAAGCAACGGCAGTTGTCGTGACATCACACCAGATCTTTAGTGAAGTTAGTGACCTCCGCTCTCTCTGAAACGAGCATACCCAGCGTACCAGCAAGGCATCGGTTGCTGTATTACTCGCCGAGTTTCGATCCCTTTTTCGCTAAGTGCTACACATCAAAACTTGCAAAGGCATTCAGCATGCTTGAGTGCTGAAGGCATCCGGTGGGTTGCTAATTGCTACGCATCAAAACCTGCAAAGCATTCAGCGTGCTCGAGTGCTGAAGGCATCCGGTTGGTTGCCTGCGTAGCGATGATCCCTGCATACTATTGTGTGTTATACTTTCGTCCAAGCCGATTCGGTGACACAGTGAGTTTTCACGAGTTTCCCCGAGATGAACAACGAAGAAACGCCAAGACAGACTTTGTTTTTGGCCAAATACTTGGCTATGACCCTTTTGTTGAACAGCTGTGTTGTACAATGGATGGTACGCATGTTGTGAACAAAAAAAGAACTCGTATGCCTGCTGTTGCGAGTGTGCTGATGTCCTTTGCAGAGACACTGTGTGCGTCCGTCAAGGACACGGTGCTTTTGAAGAGACACTCGACGTGTCCTTCATGGACAACAGAGGCGTCCATCAAATATTCTGCACGCGTCCAGCAGCGGGGCTGCCTTCTCCTCCTTCAGCGTCTCGGCGCCTACAACAGGCCGGCACATCTAGCGTCGGGCGGCTTCCTCGTCCACGTTCTGTACATAGGTTGTAAATATAAACGCTTTGTTTCTTTCTGGCTGTCTTTTGCCTTGCCACTGATTAGATGCTACTGGAGCTGGCCATGGCGACTGTCGGCACGTTTGTTTTGCTGGCGCTTGTTTGGCACGTCTATGTGAGAGCAGACGAAACTCAGCACGATGTGCATCTCAGCCTTGTATCGTCACGTGACCAAGCCATCTATGCATCGACGTCACTGCTCAACTCGGCGCCACGATATGGAAACAGAAAATGGTCCACATTGGCAGAGCAATATTAAATTATTTAGCGAAAATACACGAATTTTGATGCATGTATTATGCTTCCTGGAACTGAAGGAAACGCTTACAGCAAAGAACACGCATGCCACAAATTTGGTGGCACCACCCCTTTAAAGGAAAATTCCCACACTCGTGGCCAGCTCCAATCAGTTAAAGCCAATGGAGCACCTACAATGTTAGATATCACGATTCAGCAGTAACTGGTGTGGGAGCATATTTTAGAGAAGAAAACAAGAAACGTTTAAAATCATTTGGTTTAAATGCCTTAGTGATGTACATGTGGTTGAAGTTTGTTTTAGTCGGTGGCTGAGGCATCGGTTATTCTTATGTCGCAGTTCTTTTGTAGCTTGGATGTGGGCCTATTCCAGATACTGGCTGCAACAATAGTCTCTTTTACAATTACGCTGGCCTTTATCCTCTCGACCTCTTAATTAAATGCTGCATGGTGCTCTGCTGGAGACAGCACCCTTCTTTCTGATGTTATTCATGTTGTCCTTCTTTGAAGATTTGCCTCTCTGCAACATAATCATAATCTACTCAGGGAATTCTGTTGGCAGCTTTTCTAAAATGCACTTCACCTTGCCTGACCAATCTACTTGTTCAGGGTTACGGCTTTCACTTCGAAACTGAAATGTCTATAAGCTTTTTTACTGGTCTTATTGTTTATTTCAATGAACTACAAGTGATGTAGACTGTGCCACTGTGCAAGCGCACACATTGAAAATGCACCTTTAAGTGTAATTTCTTCATAAACAATCGTGCAAAAGCTTTTATAGGTGCATTTCATATCGTGCCCAAGTGATAAGTCAGGAGATGAATTCCCGTTTCACCATTCGATAAAAAGGCGTTAGCATGGAATAATGAGCATAATGGAGCTTTTCTGTTCTCCACGAGCATGGCTTTCTTTCCTCAATGAGTTGCGCAGATGAAGACCTCAAGTGTGGGGCAGCTTTCATAGTTGTGAAACAAGTATTTCTCTATTGTCACACCACCAAACAACAGGAGGACCTCCATTTGACAATACCTTTGATTTATACTGATAAGTAAATTAAACAAGTGATTTTGTATTTTTGTCCTTCCCACAAAAATGAGCTGCTGCTACACAGCAGAAATTTGTGCTGTGAAGTGCATGTCCATGATTTGTGGAAATGTCATGCCTGAAAGCCTATTGAACCACAACACAAGATGTTTGTTCTTTAAATGTCAAAACAACTGGTAGAAAACATGACAGGCGGGAAAGGTAAAGTGAACTATAGGAATGAAGAACAAACCTGCCAAATCAAAACTGCCTGTGAAACTAGTTTGGCGAGTCGCTGCTGTCAGTTACTTTTTTTGTACCGCAAAGAGACAGAAGTGAATATGCTTTGTCCTATTTTGTGCTTCTTTTAACATTTAAAATAACTGCTACTAAGGCATATTGACAAAGGCTCATGGGTTAAAAAAAAGAGCACATCTTGCACGATGACTCAGAAGGAACACAGGGTAAAGTGGTCCATGCATGCTGTGTCATTTCTGATCGAGTGTTCGTTGCTGTGTTTTGTTTTTTCTCCACGAACAACCTTTTAACTTCTCACATGCACAAAAATATGTTATAATTTGTCCAACTATCTTCTAAATTTTGTATGCTTTCACCAGTGGCGTAGCTGGAGGCGATAGCATGGTTCAGCCCACACCATCCACTTCATGCCCGAATAAATGTTTGTGACCACACTCCGGCTTTTTTAATGAAGCAGAAATGATCAAGCACTTATTTATAGAATGTTGAAGATATCAATACCTAAGGTAAAGATTTCTAAAGCCGCCTCTTCAAAAAAAGTGGTGTTGAACTTTCTACATCAGCATTGCTCTCACTGGGGGCAGTGGCACTAGGGCACTTCAGCAAGGTCATTTAAAATGCTGTATTTGATTAGTTTAAAGAATCGGAGAATGCCATGTTAATTCTGTCGTTACATCTAAAACATTACCTTGCATTAATCCATTTACCCTAACTATATCAATTATTTCATATGTTTAGGTAGCATTGCATTAAAAGACACCAAAATTATCACAAATATTTTTGTATCTATATAGATTATCTTATTCGCATATATACTTCGCCCTGTTTTTCTCCTGTCTCTTTCCTTTTTTATTATTTCGTTATGTTTGTTTCATGAATTTTACTGCCGCAGCCCTTGTGGGTGATCCGCCGTGTTAAGTCGTGCCATTCTTTCAGTGATCATCATTATCATCATCACCTGGCTTTCGTATGGTATGGCTTCTGTTTAATTTGTGACTAATAATGCACAGTTTTAATAGAAAATTCTGGACAACCAAATCTGCAGCTACAGGACCGTGACACTGCACACTTCACAGCCACTATTCGCAAAAAATGCCATTCCGATAGCTGACGGTGTACAAGAAAGGTATGTGCACATGGTTGCGGTTTCTGTGCGGCCATCTGAGCAGCAGGTGCGGCAACGAAGTTAAAGTCACCATGGCATCGACACGAGTGCACATATGAACGCCACTGTGGAGGTTGCAACGGCGTAGTGTTCTGCAATCCGCGGCAATGACGTGGTGAGTGGGTTTGCTGGCGGCCATAGTTCAAGTGTAATGGGCTTTTTCCTAGTCCTAACAGCACCCGAAATGAAGATCGCCTGCCGGTAGGCTGTGTCGGAGGCCTGCTTTCGCGCCGATTTTGGGGGGAAATATTTGCACGTTTGCGGCACCAAATTTGGCTTGGTCCGCACGTGTCGTCATGTGGCTATTCGCCCCGAGAACGAGCGGAGTTGCCGCCTGGTGGCCACTGGCTGAAGTGCACCTAGTGTGGATTGCTCCCGGTGTCGTCTGCTATCCACATAGGCTAGCATGTGTGCGTATGTCATGTTCGTGCTCAAAGGGTGGTTTGTCCCACTCTGCTGGCGCAAGGGTAACTGCTTGTACGTTTGCCTAGCACTGTCTACAAAAGCATTTGGCCTTACTCGCCTGTATATGTACCGAAATAAGATGACGTCGAGCACTTGGCGAGACTGATGTGTATCGTCGTCGTAGCCTTTCTTCGCCAGGATCATGTCGGTGTAGGGGCCGCTTCTTAGCTGAAGCCCATCGTAATGTGTACTTGGCGTCGCCCAAACATGAGGAATAATAAATATTGTGTGAATGCAGCGTTTTAGCGAATAAGGGATAAACTAAAGTTTTGTATTGTTGTTAGGTGTCGACTTAAAAACAAAATGTGGCATTCTTGCTTATCGGTTATGCGACGAGCCTTAATTGTGCTTGAAATAACCTTCTATTGTACGGTCCTACTTCCATAACACTGTTGTATAGTAAATTCTGACACTTCGGTACTTCAATTAAATGACACGGAGCTGATTAAGCTTGAGTTGCCGTGCACAATTTTAGCGTTGGGTGGTATATTTATACAGACAGACCCGTGTTCTTATCAAAGGTGAACATTTGGCAGAAGTCTGCCTGGTTGAAATAGGAATGATAAAAACTCCAAACTGCAAATAAAAAACTCCAAAAATTGTATTCAGAAAACCAGCGTTTTGAAGCCAGACCATGCGCTGACTCAAGAGCTGTAATACAATTTTCGGTTGGAGTTTTCCAATTGCCTCACCCTTGTTCTTAGATTTGGGTTCACTTAGAAGAGGACAGATTGTCAAAATTATTGCAGACGGCGTGCCTCACATATCACGTATAATTTCAAGGAGAACGTCACATTTTTTTTTTTCACATTATCCTGTGAGCTTTTGTGGCCTTGTGCTAAACAGACGGAAGGAGTGAACGCATATTCGCTGGAAAACAAAACAAACTTCGTTTCATCAATTAATTCAACCTTTCCATCACTTTGATGCAGATAATCGTTATAAGAAAGCTGCGGGCTGAACTATTACCTTTTCATACTTTTATAGGAGTAAGAACAAGCGCACTTACGCGCTGTAAGTCACGCAGCTTTCCTGAATAAACATATCGACTGTTCTATGTTTATTGCATAAAGAATTGATTAAGACGAAAAGGTGGAATGAGTAATCGCTCTATTTTTGGGTTCATCGCCGAAAAATATCGAGTTTCTTTTTTCTGGGGTGGGAGGAAGGGAGGGAATGAGAGGGTTGGTATTCATGACCAGCGTGCATGAAGAATGAATTCAGTCATGCTCAGCAGTGCATAGTAGGCGGGACACAAGCTCAACACCTAAAATAAAAATACAAGAAGCGAGACACACAGCAGTGCGAAAGTGCAGACAGTCGCCAAGTGTGAACATCCCTTTTAATGGCAGACTGCATTTTTGTCACAAGTAAAAGTAACGTTCGGTAAGCTTCGTACATCCGTTAAGCAAAGAACGGCATATTTATTACGACTGGGCAGCAGCCAACGCATTTTATTCGCCGACAATCGGCTCACAGGGCTCAGAAAACGTGCCCTTGCGTGCATTTGTATGCGCGCCGCCGGCCGCCTATCCACACTAGCACTGTGACGGTGCTGCCCCGTATAACCCGATCTCAGGGCGAATATAGTTATGTATTAGCCACTAAAATCATGGTGCGTTCCTCCTCGAGGTCGGCGCCCATGCGCAGACTGCCTACCCGCAAAATGCCCATTAACAGCTGCGCGGCCGCATATCACAACCTGCACTGGACGTGCTCTGCTCGCGCAATGCTACTTACACTACTGTGCTTTTGCAGGAAAAGCGGAAGCGACGAAAAAATGTTTTCGCTAGCCTTCGACTCTACACGTTCTAAAACTTTCCCTGAATTAGAGCTAAGTTTGCCTCTGGCGCGAACTGGTGCAGCCGGAGAACACCTTGCAGCTTTGTCGAAGTGACTTTCGAGGTAAACTTTATTTCTTTTTCTTTAAAACGCTCGCGCGTCTACAAACTGGGAAAGTGGTGAAATAACTTTATTTAAAATGCAGCGATTGGTAGTAGTCAGTGGGCCACGTTGATAGAAGGCCGCTTGGAGCTGTTGTTGAAACCAAAAGTAACATGAAGATGGGTTATTGTTCATAAACACTTGGAGACATGGATTTATAGAAACCTCACGATTAGAAGCATCTAACGCATTCTTTTGTCATTTTGGGTGCATTGCAATGACAGCTTTCATTGCGTTACTATGATTTTAAAAAAAGTCATTGGTTAATCTATGTAACGGCTATTTTTTTTTTTACCACGTTTTTGTCTTTTTGTGGAGAATTCTGCTATTATATAGTGGTAGCCATTTAACCAGCAAACCTATGAGCCGTCGCTATCCGAGACAAGCTAACATGGAAATCCGAAAGCAGTGTCCGAAAGCAACTGGTGGGCGAGAAAGTTTGGCAAGCGGGTTGTCGGCGGGCTACGCCGAAGCCAAATTTCGGCAGGAGCTGGAGAGTGTTTGGACCGCGGTCGCGACATGCTGGGTTGCGCCGTAGTCGGGCTGATGGCGGCGCCCCGTATGTTGGAGACATCCACGTAGCGCATATCCGCAGGATGACGACACAGGCTGTTGGTTGATCGGCGTCGTCATGAGAGTTGTGATAATTGCGATCGCCCTCGCAGCCCTGCCGCCGTGGACGACCGGCTACGATGTGTTTTTCTACAAGCCAGGCTTCTACGACCGCAAGTACGGCAGTTTCCCGGAGGATCTACGTCTCCGCATGGTCGAGGAAGCGAAGCGTATGTTTCAATTCGGGTACGACAGTTACATGAAGTATGCGTTTCCGAAGGACGAACTCAACCCCATCTACTGCACCGGCCGAGGCCCCGACTACGACAACCCGTCGAACATCAACATCAACGACGTGCTGGGCGACTACTCGCTCACCCTGGTCGACTCGCTGGACACGCTGGCCGTGATGGGGAACGCGAGCGAGTTCCGCAACGCCGTGCGCCTCATCCTCGAGCACGTCTCCTTCGACAAAGACAACGTGGTGCAGGTGTTCGAGGCCAACATTCGGCTGCTGGGCGCACTGCTGTCGGCGCACCTGCTCATCACGGACCGGGAGCAGCCGTTCGGCGACCTGCGGCCCCCTGGGTACCGGGACGAGCTGCTGCGGCTCGCGCGGGACCTGGCGTCGCGCCTGCTGCCGGCCTTCGAGAACACGCGCACGGGCATCCCCTACCCGAGGGTGAACCTGCGCCGCGGCGTGCCCCGGGCCGTCTCGACGCACACGTGCACCGCCGGCGCAGGCTCGCTGCTGCTCGAGTTCGGCGTGCTCAGCCGGCTGCTGGACGACGGCGCGTACGAGGAGGCGGCGCGGCGGGCCACGCGGGCCCTGTGGCGCCTCCGGGCGAAGGACACTGGCCTCCTGGGCAACATCGTGGACGTCAACACGGGCGAGTGGGTCGGCAAGATGAGCGGCATCGGCGCCGGCCTCGACTCCTTCTTCGAGTACCTGCTCAAGACATACATCCTGTTTGGTGACATGGAGGACTTCCGCATGTTCAACGAGAGCTACAGCCTCATCAAGCAGTACATGCGCAAGGGACGCGTCTCGTGCAACGAGGGCTGCGGTGAGCATCCGCTCTACGTCAACGTCAACATGCAGGATGGTTCGACGTCCACTCTGTGGATTGATTCCTTGCAGGCGTCCTTCTCGGGCATCCAAGTCCTGCTGGGCGACATTGAGGAGGCCATTTGCAGTCACGCCCTGTTCTATGCCATCTGGAGGCGCTTTGGTGCCTTGCCAGAGCGTTTCAACTGGCAGAAAGCGTTGCCCGATTTGGCCTTCTATCCCCTCAGACCGGAACTGATTGAATCCACGTACCTTTTGTATCGGGCCACCAAGAACCCCTTTTACCTGCATGTTGGCCGAGACATTCTACAGAGTCTCAACAATCACACCAAAGCACCGTGCGGCTACGCCACCATTCACAATGTTCAGGACAAATCCCTCGAAGACCGCATGGAAAGCTTTTTCTTAAGTGAAACCTGCAAGTACCTTTACCTGCTGTTTGATGTTGACAATCCCTTGAACAAGCACTTTGCCAAGTATATTTTTACGACAGAGGGACACATTTTGCCAATTATTCGCCCTTTGAGGACATCTCCTCCGACCAGGGAGAATGTGCCCACTGCAATTGATGTGCAGACTGTGGCAACATTAGTGCCTAGAGTCTTAAATGAGACAGATTGTCACTGTGACAAAGTGCCTGAAGAGAGGCAATACTTATTGCCTCTGAAGCATAACTATCTTCAACAAATCAGCCAATCCCTGGGTCTCGATGGAGATGTTTGAATGTTTTGTGATCGTAACGACACACGTTCCCCATTTCTTCACCTGCTCTGGCTGCACTTTTTTTGGATTTGTCAAGTGTAGACATCTGCCTGGTGAATGTACTTATAGTGCTGAAGATGCTCAAACGACAGCACATTCAGGCAACAGGTACCATTCCTGACACTTGCACTAGGGGTGTGCACAATTTGTGAGAAAGTATTTTGTTGTGCAGGTCATCCTGTCAAAATTTTATGTGGTGTGTACAGTCCCGCACAACACTGAGGGATATTGCTCAATCTCGCGAGAGATTCTAATGCAAATAAGTTAAATTGTTGATTCAGAGCAAGTGCTTCTTTTCACAAAGTTGCCATATTTTATTTCCATCTGCCCAAAGGAAATACCGTAACCTTATTTTCATGCTTAATAAAGTCTAGCACTGCTGTGGCATTTTCTGAGTGCGATTTTCTGTTGGTGATTTGTGTTCTAATGGAGGCCACTGTAATAAGAACCAAAGTTCAGAGGTTAAGTAATTGCTGAAGCTAATGAAAAATATGGTAGTAGCTTTTGCAGTTTTGACAAGTGTTTCCACGGATGGTTTGCCTGCATGTCATAAATGAGGATGCAGTCCATGCTTCCAATAAACAGTTACATTGGGAGGAGCAAATAAGCACTTAAATATTGAAGGTGCTTACCCTGAAGAGCTTCATGATGCCTGTGTCAGAAAATTTTGTTTTGTTATCGAAAAAGTAATACAGTGGCAGATGGGGATTGAGCTCTACCTGTTTGATCGAGCACTGCCTCACTCCATTTAGCAGGAGCACTCAATGAAGTGCTAACTCTTTATAGTTTATGAGTAAAGACAGGCATTGAAGGCAAGGAAATTATAGGGGATGTTATTTATAGTACGGCATACCTGGTAAGCCCTTAATTTGCTTATAACACCAACTAACTTGTGCGAAACTGCCAATACACCTTGTAACGCTTGGTTTAACGAAAAAAAGGCACTTTGGCTGCCAGTGCTTTGAAATGTAACGAAAACTAAAAACAAAAAAGCAATAATTTTGAACGAAAACTTAAGCTCAACATTATCATTTTGTTTTCAAGTGAAACTGAAGTTTTTTCAGTTATTTTTGGGTTGAGCGCACAATAAAACTTGGTGGTATAAAGCAATTGAGGCTGTGTAACGTAAGCAATATTGCATACCTCAGAATACAGTGTAAGCACCTATCTCAGGCAGGAATTACACAGTAAAGATGCATCGAAATTGTGAGAAACATGTGAAGGGTGGCAACCAGAGATTTTTACATTAACAGAAATGGACTCTCATATACCTGTCACACAAGCCAGTGTCAAATGGGCGTTGTTGGCACTGAAGTTTGTTTTATCAGAACAGCAGTCTCTCACATCAGAGAGTACATTTGGTGATGTGCTGCTTCTGAGATCATGCTCACTGCCTTGACACAAAGCATTCAGCCTGCTAAAAAAATTCTTAATTCACTTTTGAGCTGGTTTTTTTAGGTGCAGCACTGAGAAATGCAGAGACACATAGTAAACACGATGGGCGCTGTCGTGTCTACTATGTGTCTCTGCATGCCTTAGCGCTGCAGCCAAAGCAATTTGTCCCTGAGCAAACTTGCCCAAACCAAAGTTCTGTTGAAGCAATCACTTTTAAGACAATGAATACTATGACCTAGGAGTGTACTGATTTCTACTAGTTGGCAGGAACTAGTGGTGCAAGTTACCTGCGCTCCTCTGAAAAAAACGTGTTTTACCCCTGCTTTATTCTTCAAGTAGGAGTGCAAGGCACATCTTTTCTTTTCGTTATGAAATTGAGTGGTACTTTTTACAATATAACAAAACTAAAACAAAAAAAGAAACATTTCGTTCCGACTCTGTTGGCTGCTACTCGCTGACTGCTTTGGATAGAATTAATTCCCTCAATAAGTTGGATCTGCTAGATTTCTCACTCACAAACAATGCCGCTGACACTGCGCTTAGTGCTCGTTAGCACGTTAATTGGATATTCTCAAGCTCCTTTCTGCATCCTTCAAGCAACATGCTGAATGAACGCAAAGACGTGAGTTTGCTCAATACCATCTTTCAATTCTAATAACGAAATGACTGTGCATCATGCATCTTCTGCACTGACGGCATTTGTTAGTTGACATGTATTCCGGTAAACATTCATGATTGCCAACAATGTGAGCTCACTTGGTGCCTTTCTTGCCAGCTTAGTATTCATAGTCATCTTGCGGCATTATAGAAATATTTGGGTCGTACAGGAGTGCCATGTGCTCGAATACAGCCCCAGAACAGCAGTAACAGAAGCAGTGAGCTAGCAGTGAATGGTGAACTGTACGTGCAACAAGGAGTGTCAAGCCATTTCCTACTTTGACCTTTCACACATAAACTTGCCTATTTCGATTCTCATCATGAGAGGAATTATCACATAATCCACCCACGTGTCCTTTAGAATTAACTGTGACCTCCACAGGACACAAAATGTTTTCTTCATGACACACCTAGATTTATCTGTCCACAGTGGTCATGACAAGGAAATGTTCGCCTTTGTCAGGTACGTATCAAAACTACTGCATGGCTATTCATATTGATATTGTTGTTTTAGCGATTCTAGTCTTGATTTCATCTCAAGCCCTGTTATATTTTGTTCAATACGATTATGAATCACACTGTGGTGTATAGCTCCAAAAATTTTGACCATCAAGTTTTCTTTTAGGAGCACACTATGCGACTTGGGCGTCTGCAGAGGAGGGGAGTGCTAAGGTTTCCCCCCAGGTCAACCAACACCTACCCACACCCGAGCCACGCCAGCGCTTCCCCTCCCACCGCAACGCAACATGGTTTTGCACACCCCCCCCCCCCCTCTAAGACAAATTTCTGCTGACGCTAATAGTACACCAGTCTCTAGAGCGACCGCCGTGCTCTATACAGAACACCTCTGGCAGAGCATTGTAACCACTGTACCGAGGCAAACCAGAAATTTTATTTAGGCAGACAAATGATTATACAGTTGTAAATACCAGTACTCTTTCAAATATGTGGCAGAGATTGGGCTGGCCGGTGGGGCAATAACGCTTTCGTGGCTGCGCCTATTTCGATCGATAGTATGCTATCAATGTTGAATATTATTGCGGAAGAACGGCCAACACAAAGAAGAAGACCAGAGCGCGCCCCAAGCATGCGCATGCATTACATTTTTTTGTAGTTTTCAACCCGGCATCTAATAAACAAGACGTTGCGTCTGCTCCGCTTTCTGGTTTTCATCAAAAAGGTGTCGTGACCCGGATTACAATGATCGGTTGAAGACCCCTAACGATGCAGCCGGCTCTCTGAAGAGGACGGCTGATCGAGGCAATCAACGTGGTGAACCTAGGCGATGAGTGAACGATCCATGTCATCACGAGACCTTCGATTCTCGACGTGAAGACATGAAAAAGCTATGACAAAAATGCATCACGGTTCGAGCGGCAATCAGGATCATCAACGACATGATGAATCTTATGCAGACAGAAGCAGTGCCGATCAGTGAGCTGAGAAATCGTCTTAACCTGTTGAAAATAAAGAAAACTATGATCACAGACCTTGACAGATAAGTAGAAGAGCATGTTGCTGAGGGTAACCTTGAGGTTGAGATTCAAAGCGTCCAAGATTCTATCGTACGCCCCAGTGAAGTACCGGGCCGAACGTACTTTATCAGCACCTCAAGTCATAGCTAGGCAAGTCATAGCCATTAAATGACCTGCATTTTGGTATCACTTTGAGTTAACTATTCACCAAAGCCATAGAGTTAATAATAACTCTATGACCAAAACTGACACCTCGCCGACGTAGGCAAACTGAAATACCTCGAGCTGAAGCTATCTGTCGGGTAAAGTGGAAGGTGTCATAAGCGGCTTGGCTACAACCTCCAGAAGCGAGCTATAAATCTTCTAAAAGAAATATATTTGGCTATAGATTACTGATTGTGAACGACCACATAGGCCAGCATCTTAACCCACTTTATTAAGAAGATTTTGAAGGCCTTCAAAGGCAGTATGAAGAGGTGCGAATTCGCATGAGATCCCTTCGTATAACCTTGGTGTCGAAGAGAGAGTATGGATTGTTGCTGAAAACGGCAATAATACATGCAGAGTCTCCCGTAAAAAGTGGTACTTCGTTATATCCAGCGCACCCTAATTCCCAGTAAAAATTTCCCCTGACTAATTAAAAATTTCCAATTGGATCCCATTGAAACCGATTAAACATTTCCAATTGGACCAGTTAGGAGTTCCCGATAGTGTTTTGGGACATCAATTGAAAAATTTCAATTGGTTCAATGGGTCATCCTGTTAGGTTTGAATGGATCCTGCCAACATAACCAATGGGTAACACAATCAATATCCAAATGGATTGGCCAATTAGACTACCAGATGAACCAAGTTTACCCATTGGAAAGAGCATAGAGTTCCTATTGGATTTATCACTTGTGTGGTGGTTCTAACCAACTGAAACTACCGGTTGCATAAAAAACTAGTCCAAATGGTTTTATCAATTAGGTGGATTGGTCAGACCAATCTTGCCAATTGGAATTACGATATAGCTTTGAATTAAGGGTCTCATGTGTTAATCTCATTGGAGATGCATCCAAATTAAGAAAGCATGTTATTAGAATTCATGTTAGATTTCATAATTTTATTAGATTTCATTAGTGAAGGCTACCATGAAAACGTTCTCTAGATATGTTAGGTTCATCCTTAAATGTAACCTCACTCAACATGTCAGTAATTTCTGCCTAGTGAGTTGTGCCGGGTCCCAAGAACAATAGGGTAATTTTCGTGGCCGATTGTAAAGTGAATTGACGAAATAAATGACACACTTGGCATAAAAATGTAAAGATATTTCATTTCAGGAGGACTGTTGTAATGGCAAACATATTTCTATGAACTATTTTCTTGTATTACAGCTTTACTCATTTCTGTCATGTCGAATTGAAACCAATTGGCAATCATTAAAGTCTAATTGGAATCAATTGGTGGAGTTCTCATAAAAAACCACATCTGGTTTAAAGGTCCTAAGCCCATTTCGATTTATAAGTTCTACTATGAAACTCTTGATTAATCATTAAATCAACCTGGTGCATTTATCCCAACTGGATACTAAGTATAATTATTATTGATTCATTATATGTAATGGGTAGAATAAGTCCTACCCAAAACTGTCCTATATAAAGCACCAATTGGACCTATACCAATCTCCAAGTGATCCTATATATAGAAATGTCCAATCGATGGCCTAATATTACAGGGACAAGTATAATGATATGCAAACATTCCGATCAGAATAACAATCTTCCAATATTAATTGAGGAATCGCACGAGCATTTGGAGTATCAAAAAATAGGGTGGCAAAATGAACAATTTACACCAATTGTCTTGGAACTAACAATTCTAATTGGGCT